GATTTGGTTAAAAGGATGTGAGTGTATAAATTCTGCCAGGGACAAAACTGAAGATCCTGGTGAGCAGAGCAGAAGGAGATTTTGATAGAAGTCACAGAAAGCAACAGGTCTTTTCTTGTACACATATTTGCTGGTTATTTCTCTAATTGAGTTTTTCATATGTGCCAGGGCTCAGCAGTTACATGGTTATGTATGTTTTGATATTTCCAGGGTTTTTCTGAAGCTGTGACAACTAAAACTCATGATTTTGTAGTTACATTCGGAGCATAACTCTTATGGAAGGTCTGAGTTTTATGGCAAAACCTGGATCCATGGAACACAGAAATACTGGAACCTCTCTCTGTGCTTCTAATGTTTTAAATATTTTAAAATACTAGTTGTTAAAAAGCTGTATTGGCTAGAGTTGGAATACAGCCTCCGGGCAAACATTCAGAAAATGAATCATACAGGCTACTACTCTGTTTTACTCCAAAGCCTTTAGTTTAAGATTTTGCTGATTAAAACAATTTCCAAAGTCTAATAGTGAATATGTTAACTACATTGCTAAATAAAATTTTACTTAGAAAATCCTTAATCTCTAAAGAAGCACCTCAATTTAGTGTTTTAGGGACACTATGCTCATTGTCCAAAGTGCCAAATCTGTGCATGTTCTCAGAAGAATCATTATAATGCTGTGTTGATTGAGACATTCTACAACAGATCAGCCAGGTCATCATCACATTCTGCTTTAGTTAGGCTTCAGCTATGCATGTTGCTTACTTTGATTTCAAAAATTGAAGACTAAAGAAGGTGCTCTATGAAAATAAGAGAGCAATGTAACATTTTGATATACTTTTGAAATTGGATCACAATAAATAGTTTAAAAGAGTTTTCAGATGAACCTAGTGCTGAGGGCAAATAAGCAACATTTAAAAGTTATGTAAAAATAAATGTCATATGTAAATATGTCATTGTATCCAGAAGTGTTTGTTGTAAAATCTGTAAATTTAGATCTGAAAAGAACAGTACTTTTGCAAAGTTAATTAAATGACTAGAAACCCAATGGCCAATTGCCAAATAGCAAGCACTACAATAATATCATTCTAAAGTTAAAGAATTTTAATGTTTATTTAGGTCAGAACTTGTGTTGCAGAAAATTTGTTTAACCATTGTATATTTAATCCTTCATCAGTGATAATCTGTTATTATTGATGTAGGTACTGGATGGGTAGTTGAATTTTTTTCCAGGTGATTTTTTTTTTTAATGACCAGTTCATATTTTGCTTGACTCTTTAGTTAATGAAAAGTATTCAGTAAGGATCCTACAGTAAAACCATTAATTTTAATTCCTGTAACTTTAAGGAAACACAGCATAAACACTGTTTTGATGCAATGTTCTTGAATTCTTTGAAGAGAGCAATACTGTGGCTCTGTGCTGGACAAATGACAATGGATTTCCTCTTGCTCTTTTTTTGTTCTGTAGTGTAATGTTATTTAAAAAAACAAAAGGTTCAGTTGCATTTAGGTCAGTTATTAAAATATTGTTGGTCATTTCCTTTGACAGAACATTCTATTGTGTTATACCAATGTCATTAGGAGGAAAGGTTATTCCCACTTGTCTGGCTGATATCAATACATACTGGCATATTACATCCTCTGGCTTTCTGGAAATGCTTTATTTGAGCAGCAGCTTGGGAACAGGAAATTTAAGGTTATACACAGTCTGGTTTCAGACTGCATGACACAAAATGTGTTTCCTAGAAGACGCCGTCTACCTGACAGATTTTCTCTAGTATTTTGTAGAATCGGATAAGCTTAAATGAGTTCAATTTGGGAATAAATTACTATCTGTAGATGGCAGACAAGGTAGAGCAAGGCTTTCAGTCACTCTGTAGTATGTATTTGAGGAACATAGGTGAAGTCTAGTTAGTATCTCACCCATTCACCAATTACTCTGGAATGTAGTTTACCTTTTAAGGTATGGCAGTGATAATATTCCCATTTTGTAGGTGTTCTTCCTGTCTAGGATATAAAAAGCCCAGAGTACTTTTAGTTCAGGCCATGGTGGAATATGAAGTCTGTGACACTGTGTTAGCTTCTAAAGGCAGAGGTTCAAGGATAGCATCTTAACCATGCTAAGCAGCTCTTTCAGTCAGAATCATAGTGAGCAGGAGAATAGGAACACAGTTTAATCCTGTAACTGTTCTTTGAGCTATTCATTCATCCCTGTAAAACAAAGCAAATCGTAATCAGCAGTTATGTCCTGTTCTGTTTCTGAAGCTGAGCCTGTCAGTCTTGGGTGAATCTGTAAATTATGTAAATATCATGTCTTTTTAAAATCTTACTCTAGAGGTAAGTGTTCCCATAAGTGCTTCGTCCGCAGTCTAAGATTGTAAGTTTTACATTTTCCATCAAAATAAGAACAAGGTCGTGTTTCTGAAGAATGAGAGCACCAAATTCCAAAACACTGTTTCCCCCAACCATTTTCATGTGACAGGAGTGTACGTTTTTCATCTTAATCACAGGAATGGTCACAGGCAATGCAGCACTATGGCACTGCCAGCTATTGTCATTCAGAAATCATTGATCAGTGGTCTAAACCTCATGTTTATGAGATACAAAAAGGGTTGTATTTCTAAACTGTATTTATTTTGGGTTTTACTCTTTTTTTTTTTCTTTTTTTTTTTTTCTCTCCTGTGTGTAGGTAGGGCATATGTAGGTTTCCTTGTCTATCTATCTGGTAGCTATTAACTTCAATGAGAAGGGGTGGATGGAATGGGTAGAATATACCTGAGATTCTTTTAAAATTGATCCCTCCAGGACTGGGAATGTTGGGAAAACCTGCATGTAGTAAGGTTTGAGATAAAATTGCCTTAGTAACCACTATTTTTTTTCCCTCAAAAAAAGTGCAAGACTTTCAAGGAAGCAATACATATTTCATGTCACTTTCACTGACAGATTAGACTGGTATGTTTTAAGTGATGATGCTGAAAATGAGAAATTAATTTTGATGACATCTTAATATATGTGACTTCAGAGGGAAACAACTAAAAAGCTGTGAAAGGGGAAATACCTAAAGTATTAAGCCATTATGCACACATTCTGAAGTATGTATAAAGCCATTCCAAAGGGATATATCATGAAGTATAGTCATCAGAGATAATAAAAATTGTAAGCCTTTCTAATGGAAATAACCACAGAGATCAGGCTACAAGTAGATTTCATTGTCAGCTGAAGCTATGGTGCCTGGTGAATAACTGATGAAGCTTTCTATCTGCCTATCCAGAGTATCAGAAGATAAAATTTGTACACAACTCCTTAATTTCTTTCCAGGTCAGATAGAACTATGGATCTCACCTTGATAAGGTCCTTGATATAGTTGAGGTTAGAAAGAGCCTTTAGAGATCCTCTAGTTCAGTCCCCCTGCCCAGGCAGGGTCAGACAGAATGGGCTGTCCAGGACCTTGTCCAGTCAGGATTTGTTATCTCCAAGGATGGAGACTTAACAAGCTCTCTGTACTACCTGCTCACTTATATTTATTAGTTTTGGTGTTACACAAAATATGAATACCTTGTATATTTTGGGGGATGCTTTTTTTATCCAGCTTTATTCATTTACCTAACCTGGGTTGGGAAACTTTTTTTAAAATGTGTTTCAATAGAAGGCAGTCTTAAGATAGCTACTTCAAAGTACAAAAATATTTTCTGTCTTTCCATTGTAGAAAATGCTGCATACCAAAGCAGTTTTTCCACTGAAGAGGTAAAAAAGGGCTAATGCTTTTTTTGTTCTTGCCAAAGAATGTAAATTATGCATATAATTTGTTTATGAAATGTCTGCAACTTCCAAGACAAAAGTAACCATGCCATCTGTAACTACTTTGAGTTCAAATACTGATAAGTAATTTTATATGAAGTCTACTATATCTTAATTTTTTAATAAAATGCAGAAATCTTTGCCAGTTCTAAGGCTCTTAGTGTTAACTATACAATCCATGCAATTTAAAATCCTATTGCAGCTAGTTTGTTGTCATATATCTACATGATATACAGAAATACAGATTAATTTGTTGAAGATTTAAGTACAAAGCATATAGGCACCCAAGTGCTTTTGCTTCAGAACTATCTAGTGTTCTATCATCATGGAGTGCAGGGTGAGTTGTCATCTGCCTTTAATATGGGTCCGTTCTGGATCAAAGCAGATGTGGGCATACAACATTACTCATGCTAGGTAAGGATTGTAACTCAGGAAACCTTCCTGGATAAAAATCACTGTGCATGGAGACTGGTCTAAGCCAATATTAGGGTAGTTAAACTAAAATATAACATTGCTACTGTGCTCCTGACACAGTTATCTTCATTGTATTAATATTTTTATTTCTGTTAACTGTGGTTCTTGATATACAGTCAATTTGTAATAAAAACTTCTGCCAGGTACGTTGGAGACACTTGGGTGTGGATGGCATTGAGTGAAGGTAACTTTAGAAGAGACAGTCAAGGTGAAGTAAAGCACAAGGTTGAGAAGAGAAGCCATGTGCTCTGTCACTGCCAATACCATATCCACTGTTTCAGTAATGAAGCAGAGTAGTTTCCACAGTCGGTTTTAATTTGGCATATTCACTTGGCTGACTGCTTTTTGAGTCAGATGCTGTGTAAGGTTGTACTTATCTGATCCCTGTATGTTTAGTATCAGTTTTATTTTTTCAGTTGAAACTTTCAAAGTTCTCAGATGAAACAGTGTAATTTAGGGAAGAATAGAATGGTAATTTGGGCCTATCTATGCCTCACAGTAGCCCTGTTATCAGTTTTCTAGTAAGTCCTTATATGGACTCTTATTTGACATTAAGACTTACTTTTGCTGTTTGACCTGGTTTTTCTTCCAAAGCATGATAGAACCTTGGCATTTAATGTTTGTCACAAAGGTTCCACGTGCATATGTGCCTCTAGTATCACTGTGGAAGGGAGAGTGCTTGTCTTTCTATTGCTGTAAACAATTTTGATCTTCGTTCTTTTCTAACTCTACAGAATTTAGCTTCTTGGAATCCTTCAAATCCTGAATGCCTCCTGCTTGTTGTGAAAGAGCTGGTGCAGCAGTATCACCAATTTCAATGCAGCCGATTACGTGAGAGCTCTCGTCTCATGTTTGAGTATCAGACTTTACTTGAAGAGCCCCAATATGGAGAAAACATGGAAATCTATGCTGGCAAAAAAAACAACTGGGTAAGCTATTAAGAATATTTCAGCTAAAATGCTTTTAGTGATCCTTTCATTTTAATAAATATAACTTTTCCCTTTGAAAACTTGAATTATTTCTGTGGATCAGCATGCTTTATGTTTGCAGTGGAGAACACTTCTGTTTGACTGCAGCTCACTTTCTATACTCCCTGTTTTATACATTCCTGTCATTCCACTACCTTGGTTGAACCAGATTTCCAATTGAGTAACTGTTTTTCAACCTGATGTTAGTTCTTCTGATTTATAGATGAAAACTTTGAAAACTGTTGAAAAGCCTGTGCAGTATTTGCAGGGCATAGTACATGCCATGCAAAGGAAGTTTAAGTTAGCTCTGAAGATCTGGGAGGGAAAATAAGTTTTATTATGACACCTTGTTCAGGCAGATCAGCTTCCTTAATGGTAGGATATATTAGGGTATGATTCCACTTTATGGTTGACTTGATTTACTTGGTAGCTGCAGTTGCCTGTATCCCTCTGGCATTTGTCTAAGGTGAGAGGAGTTGTTTCAGGCACCTAAACTGGAGAGCAAAAAACCCACACAACTAATTTTCTGCAGGACAGGAGGCGATAAGATGACTAGAGCAGTGATTTGGTAGGGCCATGTCTTCATATGACAGTCAGATGTTAAGCTGGGTTAGCTGTTTCCTGAAGTTGTATTCTGCTGCCTGGGAAATGTGCCATGCTGTGTAGAAATATACATCTTGGTGTTCTAAAGTGAGTCTATTGACAATGTAGACATTTTGGTTAGGGTATGATTTGATTTTTTAAAATATTTTTTTAACTGAACTCTGCCACAAGGTAAGCATTGCAAAAATCAAGTTCTTTTTCCACTGGTAATATATTGATCATGGGAAGTTTGGAGTAAGATATATCATGAAATATCAAATTGTGTTTATACTGAATGTGTCCCCACCTTGTTTTCAAGCAATAGGATGCACTGAACATGTTCTGGCCTGCAGAACCAGTGTCTTCTGAAATAGATGCAGACTGAAAATCGATGAAAATTCTGCATTCCTGTTATCAGGACCTAAACTTCCACTTTATGTTACTTTAATCATTGTAAAGTTACAGATGATGCAATAGTGTTTACTTTGCAACTTGCAGTACTTATATTTATCTGGTTTTCTTTCCTTAGACAAGTCATCTAGGCTTTATTATTTTAAGCCAAGTAAAATCGTCTTTATCACAGAATTTCAGATCTCTTTTTTATGTTTATGAATCAGAATATTTCATTGAAATTAATTTGTTCTTAAATGCTATTCTTTATAGCTCACGTCAAAAACAACTTGCCACATCTGTAAATATCATCAAACTGGTTTATTGAAATGCAGAAGGCTTTCTGAACCATACTGAGATTTTTATCATAATTTTTGACAGCTGCCAAATTTTTTTTGCATTTGAATTGCTGTCTTTGTTAAAAATATTCCAATAAAATAAATCTTAAATACCTTTTGAGGCAGATATTTTTAATTATTGGAGAGATGTTTGAGGTTTATGTAGCATGTGCTTTGTTTTCAAAGTTTGCGTTCTCTGTCAAGAAAACTCTTGAGAGTTTCATTTGGAGATTCTGTGAACCTGATAACAGTGTGTCAAAGGCTCATTTATGAGTGTCCTAAAACTCCAAACTATGAAACTAACTTGTGTAGCTCTCCTTCCTGTCCTTTATAGCTGTCTTGTTAGTCTTGATGATCAGTGCAATAGGAGCCTTTATCTGTAAAGCAAGAGGTAAACTATATGTTATCTCCTCTGCCTAGAAGTGATTGAAATTCATGTTGTTGCTGCCTCTCAGGAATATACAGTAGCTCAGCAGACTTCTGAAACAATTGTCCACAAGTGAACCTTGCACAGTGTTGCAAAACCAATCATCTTAAGTGCATGAGTTGAAAAACTTTGAAGGGGAGGCCTGAATTCAGTGCTGTGTCCCAAAATGGAACAGAAATTTGCTTTTATACGTTTGGTGCACTATCTCCAATTTCCTGAGTGATCTCCAAGACACATGACAAGTAGACAAACTCTCATCTAGCTTAGTAGCTTCATGTTGGCAGAGTACAACATGATGCAGCTATCCATCAAGGTTCTAATCTCTTGGTGCTGTGGCCAGAAATTCATCTGACTTGGCCTGTTGCTTATGGCGAGATGGTTGGTGTTGAGTAGGTGAGCACCATGGACAGGGGCTGCTGCCTGCCTGTCCAGAACGATTTTGGAAGTAATACTTCAAAAAATAATCCTGATTGACTGGCATGAAGGATCTAGACTGCAAGATCTAGACTGCAGGTCCTTATTTACTTCCACACCTTGAAGTAGCTGATGTTTTCATGAGAGGCCATTATTCTGTTCAGGGGTCATCCCAGTTCATCAGACCTGATATTTTACCGGAAATAATTTTCTAGATTTCACAGCAAGTGTTGTATGACATGTTTTGCAAGTTAAGTTCAGACAAGAAGCACGGTCTGTAATATCCATTTCACTCTGAATAAAAACCAAGTGCTCTGACTGTCATCAGAGAAGTCTTCTTGCTATATGTGCACAAGAAGTCAGTGATTTTTCTGCACACGTAAGTCATACAGCATCAGAAAGTTGGCAGCAATCCTCACAAGCAGTGTCATCAGGAAAGGTGTCAGAGTATGTACATTCACCATAGATGCATGTGCACTTTGTTAAAATTCCTATATTGTACACTTCTGAAATGCTGGGGTTTGAACCCCGAGCCCTGAATTAAGGTTGACATATGGGTGATTCCCACAGCCCTTCATACAGAGGGGGTGAGTTTGCCTTAGAGCTTCCCCCCAGGGTGCAGCCGGCCCTGCAGGGAGAGCCAGAAGGGAAATGAGCCCCAGGGGTCCCACAGTGAGCTGACAAAGGTCAGGGGTCTGCTTGGGGATAAAAGCTGGGACCACTGGCAGGGGGGGGGGGGG